CCAGGTTCCGTCGGAACCTTAATACCACGCTTTCTCACAAGATAGAGTGGGGGGCTCTTCGGGGGAAGAGTCGCCCTCTTGCTACATGGTTCTCATTCTCCATCCGTCGGTAGGGAGGAAGTTATAGCAGAGTATCGAGGATTATAGATCTAATTTACACTCATTCAAAAAATGTATAATTGTTTTAAGAATTTGTCTATTTAGATTGATAAACAAGTAAACTACAGAGAAAGGAGCAAAGAGTTTATATTTAAAGAGATTATTGATAAGTTCTTTCCTTTCTTTTTTTTTTTTTGTTATATAAGTTTCTGCTTTTAAATAGCAAACGGTCATTTCAAAGCAAAGGATCGAAAGAGAGAGGGAAGAAGTGAGACAGCAAACAAACGAGCAGATGTTCGCAAGAACCCGCGCGCTTTGGCTGCATTCGAGGAGCGCGCTATTAGCGCTATTGCATCATTCTGTCTTTATCGCTCATCAGGTGTAAAACAAGGATAGAACAAGCAAATAGCGCTAATAGCGCGCTCCCCGAATCCAGCCTTTGTATACTTGAAACGCAGGTCAACGGCCAAACGACATTCAGAGATATGAACATCTATAATCCCCTCATAAAACTTTCTCTTCGTCTATTTCATACTTTTCAACTCAAAAATTCAGAAACTTATTTTTCACTTATATTTCAACATTTCAATATGCTTTTATTAAAGATAATAAAAATCACGCAAAATGTTGCTAAGGTTACGATAAAAAATTAATTAAATTTATTAATTCTTCTCAATTGACTTCTGACATTTTAATAATAGTTTTTTTAGTCCTTTATGAATACTCAGATAAATTGTCAGAAGTGCTATATATGAAATATGTCCGGTGTGAAAATCAAGAGAAAAGCGATCGGTCCACTGAGCGCTGCGCCGCGCGCCGAAAGACGCTCTCGCACTTTGCACTCGATTTTCTCATGATCGCTTCCACTTTGCCTTCTGACACTTTGCATTTAGTTTATTCTATACGTAAACAATACAAATGCAAATTGTCAGAAGTTCTTCTTAATATGTAAATTTTCCGAGATTTTTCGCAACTTTGGCAGTTTCTGACAACACTTTAGCTTCTACTTACTCTTCTGACAATTTTTTCCCTGCTTTTTCTTATACTCCTCGATATCTATGCAAATTTTCAGCCGTACCAATCGACAGTTTTTTTTGTCGGAAAATTTACACGTCCGCCTACGCACTTAGCTTCCAGCGCGCCTTCTGACGGTCGGGCTTTCGCTTTGCCGGCAGCAATCGAACCTTTTCCAGGTAAGATATTTTGTGGACCGAGGCATGTTGCTTTCTCTGTATAGCCAGCTCTCCGTCTATCAAGACACACACGACGCACACGTACGAAGCTCGCGGAACTCGCCGCGATTTCGATCGCCGGCTTCGACCGGCCAATCAGGTCGGCCTATTACAGGTCGACCATGTGTACTACATATATTAATTGCTATGTTAGCAAGTGCATTATCGAAAAGGTAACTCACAAATAAGAGAGAGAGAATACTATATTTTTTTATTTAATAATAAAACATGATTTTATGCGGCGGCTGACAAAGAGCGAAAACATTGGAACAATAGCGCATAATCTAAAGTGGCAACGTTTCCCACGGGATTCTAATCTGCCTATTATAGTAGCACGCGCAAGGATACCTTGTAAACTTACCGCAGGAAGGTTCTTTACCTTGTCTTTTCCTTTCTACACTACGGTAAGTTCTCGTCATTTCGTGACATCTTCCGAATGAATTCTTCAAATCACCCGGATACTAATCCGTGTTTTTCGGTTGTTTTCAGATCCTGGCGACGACGATCTCATATACATATCCATGCTCGCGGGATTAAATGAAACGAACTTTCATTGATAAATGACACATACGGTCCGCGTACTTTTGCTCACAAATAAACAATATAAAACAAGAATCAGATTGGTGCCCATTCCCCAAAAGCACAGTTTTTTTTACACAAACAAAAATTTACGCTGCGCAAATAGGCGACACTTCCAGGCCGCCATATTTGCGTTTTCGTGTTCCACATGACACCGGCTATCGTCCCAAAAAGTTTCGTCGTGATGCCGATCACACATGTTTTTTGTCGCTGGCTCTCTAGTCTAATATGTCCAAAAGATGATAATGTTTACCTGGATATTCGTATTGAGCGGGAAAAGAGCGAGTAATTTCTCTTTGAAAATCCTAATTTATTATTTCAGTGATATTTCATAATTTTTTAACAATATATAATTTTTATCGTATAAATTTTATCATACACGTGTCTACACAAAAGACACGAACTTAATAACAACTCACCCAAGAGTAGAATATAATACAAACATCTTTATAAAGAAGATTTTTATATAAATTACATGACAATTCCGCTTGCGTTGAAAGGCTGAATATTGTCTTCGATGTCTCGCTTTAAAACTCGAAAAATTTTACATTTTGCGCATTTCGTAGAAATTTTAGAAACCTGCACATTTATACGTTGCACTTTGCAGGTACTTGCAGGCACTTGCAGCGAGTATTTATCGCATTATGCAATATTAAAATTTATGGTTATATTTAATAACTATTCGATCCAATTATTGTCTATCACTCACATAAAGTTTATGTAAATTTATGTCAACTTATGCAAGGTTACAGTTATATGACATTTCTTAAAAAGTTTTATAAAATTTATAATTTTTGCACTCGGTCCACGTTACAGATAGAGCATATCGGAATAGGCAATAATTTTAGAAGTCGTAAATTATTTATAATTAACGTCTACCTCCTGGACGCTCTTCTTATTCGTTGAAAATACAAGTATTCCTGGAACACAGAAATATAATTGTAAATAAATTTATTTATTTGTAAATTTATATATTATATGTATGCAATTTTCGGTTTTTGAACCGCTTTTTATTAGAGAAATCAGAGATTGATTGTCGGGGGTAAAGTTAAAAATTGATCACTCACTATCAAAAACGATGCGCCGAGGAGCAGGCTTTTCAATCTCACGTCTGTGTTTATCGGGAATGTGAGCAACAGGATGTAATCGACTGCCAAGTGATCCCACTGATGCATCAGTGATGCGATTTGACGCGATCCGTCCATCGATGTGACCTGAAAAGGAAGAAGATAAAATTGAGCAGTATAAGTAAACAAGTAAAATATTCATATAATAAAACTATATAAATAAAATGTCGATAAGTAAAATAAATATAAAAGTATTAAATTTTAATTGTTTTATACGCAGAGTGTCCTATTTTAAATAATGCATTTTAATATCTCTTCTGTAACTCGTTATGGACAAAAATGTTTCAGACAAAAGTTGTTAAAATTAATTAGTAGAAAATAATGATACAATAAAAAATAAAGTTTTCATTTGAAAAATTTAACTTAGGCTCTACTGGGCCCAACACAGGACCCAAAATCTAATAAGATTATCATGTGGCTCCTTTCAAATCATGCAACTTTTGTCTGAAACATTTTTGTCTATGACGATTCGAGTTACAGAAGAGATATTAAAATGTATTGTATTATTTAAAATGCACCCTGTATAATAAAATTATTTATTATATGTATATAAATACTAGCGTTTTTATTAAATAAACTATTAACAATACGTGTAAAATTGATAAAACTAAAAAATACGAGCACAGTTATGATTTAAGGGGTCATGCCTAGTTAGAAGTGCATGATTTTCGGGGATTTTTATAAGAAAGTCAATTTATTTTTTTTTACAACAAAAATTTGACATTAAAAGTATATTGAACAACATTCAGAATTTTTTTCGTTAAAAAATATTGCAAATTAAGGAAGTTACGGCCACTCTTGATTTTTCAGAGGTATCGTGCGGTGACCACGATAACTCCAAGCCAAATTATCTGAAATAAAAAAACCAATAAGATTCTGTTAGTATATGAATATATCTTGTTCGTGAACGAAGGATTTTTTGAAAAAATAATTTTTGACAAAATGGGGCGGCCGTTTTAAGGAAAAACGCAATTATTCGGGCTCTTAATTTTTCGTTTTTCTTCAATAAAAAAAAAGTTTTCATTAAAAAAAACCCCCTTCATTCACGAACAAGATATATTCATATACTAACAGAATTTTTTTGGTTTTTTGATTTCAGATGATTTGGCTTGGAGTTATCGTGGTCACCGCACGACACCTCTGAAAAATCAAAAGTGGCTGTAACTTCCTTAATTTGCAATATTTTTCAACGAAAAAAATTTTGAATGTTGTTTAATGTATGTACTTTTGATGTCAACTTTTTGTTGTAAGAAAAAATAAATTGACTTTTTTATAAAAATCCCCGAAAATCATGCACTTCCAACTAGGCATGACCCCTTAACTCAAGTTGCACTTTCATTCCCTTCAGTCCCGTCGTGTTTTATGCCATTCGCGATAAGCCTAACCGATTATTCGATTTATTTTTTTCATCCACGCGGGTGATTCTATTCACCTGAAACTGCGCTTCCTTGTACATGCAACAGCCGCAAATGTTAGGTCCATATATGTTGCAAAGCGGCTCGTTCATCGTGTTATATACTGTGAAGCTCGGCCCCACCATGCTAAAGTTCTCCTCCACGCTGCCGATGAGATTCGCGCTTTCCACTGTGATTCTCTGCGGAAACATGAGAAATGAAAGGATCAAGCAGGGAGATGAAAACGTCCGTCACGTTTTATTTTGAGCCAATAAAGATCTGGCATGTCGATAATCGAAGGTTAATCCTGCTGTTCCGCTCTCTTTCGTGCAAGTTCCAGTTTAAATGTACTTTCATGTTTTAATACGGCTTTATTTATATATATATGCATATATTTCTTTTTTACAGAAGTTTCGAATCATCGAGGAGGCTTCAAAAATAATTGAACCGCCTTATGTTTCTCGCGGTGAATTTAAACATTATTATTTAATTACAATATAATTGGTTTTTTTTCGCTATCAAAAATCCTTTATTTTTATTGTATAAATAGATGTATAATAAGATCGTCAAACATTAGTTAGTAAATTATAGGAATTATGACTAGAGAAAATTACTCCGTTTAATAAGAAAAATGGGTCATATTGACTCGGACGGAACAGCAAGGGTTAATAATTTAATTGAACACATTGTGCGCGGTTTGCGTTCAATTTATCGCGACAATATTCTTTGTGAAACATCAACTGCCGGGTCATCAAGGAACTATCGACAATTGCATTTTTTTATCCTTTTTAAGGCGCGGTCAAAAGGAAATAAAATTTTAAAAGCTTTGAAATAATTTTTAAGCTAGGCCCGCACGTTTAAATCATGTGAAATATCCTCCGTGTAAGAAAGAAGATTCATTTGCGATACGTCGACAATTAAGATGCCCACATACGTCCTGAATCATGCTAAATCCGGCATATATAATTACAGAGGAATGTGTAATATCTATTTTAGTGCAGTTCGTTGCGTTGGCGTCGACTTGCCTGTCGAGAGCACGGCACGTGCATCCAGCTAGGATCCTTCCGGATGATGAAAGCGGTCTCGCCACATTGATCCAGTACGTTCAACACGAATCCTTTGTACCAGCCATAACATCGCGATTGCGTTTCCGACTTGGATTCTATGGCGAGAAATAGCGTTTCCGCGCGCGGCACTTTCACCCTGTACTGAGTGCTCCTATCCATTCTCCCGAGTACTGCCGAGTATTTCACGTAAAAGTCGTGTACATAAGTATATATATATATATATTTTTTTTTTATTCTTCTATACATAACGTAATTATCTTGTCTACTACATTACGTCATTTAATATTGATAAAATCTAAAATAGAATTTTTGTAATTTATATTTTAATCTTCAATCTTGTAATAAACGAAATTAATACTAATAAGCATTAATTATTCATATAACTATTAATAATTATTTATTAGATAATATTACATATATATAAATATTACATATACATAAATATTTGAATAATAAATAACAGTAAATATGTAAATATATATTTATCTCAATAATAAGAAATATACATATATATTTAATATTATTTATTTTACTTAATTATATATTTATCTGTTAAAATATATTAAATATTTAAATAAGTTATTAAGTTATTAAGTTATAATATAAGTTATTATGTATATTAAAATATATTAAATATTTAAATAATCTATAGCTTCCTTCTTTCTATTTTTTTAGAGCGAAAAGTTGGCGCATGGTGCGCTAAATACGTACGAGTACTCAAATCAATAACCTGCTGAATTTCCAATTGCTCGACGCCGTCCAGGAACTGCGTGCCAGAGATCGAGTTCAACTGCGCCCTGGGTGTCGAGATCCAGTCAAGGGTGCTGATGGGAATTGGCCTACGAGGGAATCGACTTTCGCCTTCTGCAAATGCATGCGATAATTTGCGTGGACAATCAAAAGCTACTGCAAATCTTCGTGAGTGCGCGAGCACTCGTTATCGATTTCATTGCGTTACGCAATCAGTTAAAGCCTGAATAATTATTTCTATTATGCATATAATTACTTAAAATAATAACTATAATAAATATACATATATGTATATAAATTTAATGTATATTTTTTAATATTCAATGTGTATAAATTAATTTAATATGTTGAATATTTTATACATTAAATTTAATTATATATATTATATATCAATTTAATAACTATACATATATACTTGATTATATGTACCTATATATGATTAGACGAGAATAGTTGTTATTTGTTTTTTAACCGTCGCGATTTTCGAATAAGATATTTGATAAATTTTACGTGAAAATAAAAGAAAATTACGCAGATACATATAATCGGAATAAATATGTTTTGCGTATTAAAAAACTATTTTAATAACAAACTAAATTCTTTCCCCAAAAATTAAATCCACGAAAGTTAATAGTAAAACTGTTTTTGCTTTGACACTGCAATCGTATTACATAAAAGAAAAATAAAATATTTATATAACACATTGCGACTCATTTTGCTTTCCAAACTATCGTAATTCTCGTAACTTAATTTCCCATTTTTAAATGTCTGTTTACCTGTATGCGACGCGAAAAGAAAAAAAGGGATAATTGTATATTTTATTGAAATCACACACACACATTGTGGACGTTAATGGCCAGTCGGCGTTTTATTCGCTAAAAAAATTATCTATTCACCTTCCGGTTGCATCGTGATGACGGTGCTGTTCGCGTAAATGATCGGCGCGTTCTCCTGCAGCTCCATCGTCTGCGTCGCCGCGCTTGACGTCGCCGTCGCTGGCGGACCTAAAAAAAAAAGAAAAAAATTACGCTTTATGACTGCTTCTGAGAAAGAGTCACGCGCAAAAAAGAAACGTTTTTCGCGATAAATAAAAAAAATAAAAAAAATGTAAAACGCGATATCTTTGCCTGATACCGATCGGTTGTGATGATTGCTGCTCGCCATTGTTCGTCGACATGTTGAGCTGCTGCGCGTAACTTCGCTCTGCCATCGGGTCCGCTTCCGTGTACCGCATCATAATCGCGAAGTGAAGATCTCGTTCCCGTCTCCGGCGACGAGCGGGAGATAAGGAACGATCAAAACGCGGAGAGAGATAGAGATAGAGAGAAAGTGATCGATCGATATCTCCACCTGAGACTTCTATTTCCGAAACTTGCCCGGTAAAATAAAGCGATCCGTTTCGAGGGACGGTTGGCGAACCCGCGCTAACCACCGGTGGAAGACTGTTCGATCATTTGTACTTGAATTTCTATCCGCCTCGTTATCGCCCGATGAATTTATCATTTATCTATCGGTCCGGATAAGCGGTATCTTTAGCGCAGTTATCGATAACAAACGTTTGTAACAAAAGCGCTGACCTAAACGTGAAGATGACAAATACGCGAAAAATGTAGAAATCGATTTTTCCTTTATTCTCGGCCTGCCACTCTCTGTCTTTCGATTCATGTAATGTCAATCACACGTAATATCTTATTTCGCAACTTATCAATTATGCAATTAGCCCTTAACTGGCACTGTGGGGTAAACGCCCCAGCCTAGTTCAGCTCTAATGACCTCCTATAGTACGAAAATGGTACTAAAAAATGGAAGAGTTATCAATTTTTGAGTGAAAACAGTCATTTTTTCGTTTTCTTTTACGTTCTCTAACTTTTTTCATACTTAATATTACATTTTATCAAAATAACCTATGACATCTGTTAAAACGACATTTGAATACCTTGTCATCCGTGAGTGATCACCGTCATGTTAAATTAAATTGTTACAATCTATATCTCACACCGCACAGTATATATTATAATTTATGTGTATAAAACCTTGCGATTTTTATGTTCTATTACTCAAACTATAAAATACTTTGTTTAGTTGCTGAAGATGGTCCGAATAGGGACCAAAACGTACGTTTAATTCCAAAGAAGAATAAATATAATTTTCGCACAGTCACAACAGCAATCGGCTCTTAATTAGCCCGGTTCCTTCCACGTGCGGACATCCCACAGAGTCTTATATCTCCAACTAAATAAGATGTAAGTGATGAGCATGTTGAGCGTTTTCGCCAAGATATTTTGGCAACGGAAAAGAGATAACAGAGAAAATAGAGTTTTCTCAGCAAACAATTTGACTCACTATTAGGAATATCTTCGATTTACGTAATGCTTTTTATACATGGTCTTAGTTTTACGCGATCTCATTTTACGTGGTCAGAAAAAACATTTTTCTATGGTATATTTCTTTCTGAAATAGAAATGTCAAATATTTCTAGTGATGAAAATAGTAATTTCGAATTAAAAAAGTTGACTGCTTTGAAGTACAGAGTATTGATAACAACGAATAAAATTTAAATTTGTTTTGCTGAACTTTTATTATTACTGTTTTTGTGCAAATATGTGGAATAAATGTTTTTATAACATACACGGGTTTTTCTTTTACGTATTTTTTTTGTACTGGCAGATTCTCAATCGCGTAAAACAAACTACGCGAATATTCCGCGTAAATCGAGGGACGAGTGTAAACACATTATATTTTTCAAATTTAACGATATATTATAACTGTATTGCAATTGCAAATGCGGGTGATTTTCGTATTATTCTTGCGAATAAAAAGTTCTCACGAGCTGTCGAAGAATTATGCACTGGCAGACACCGCATTCCGATGATCGGGCAATTCCACGACGATGATCAATACTTCCTGAATGAAATTCCGAAAACGCCTTTCTTCGCTCACTTGACCTTTCGCAGATGGTAAATTAATTAACGAGTACGCACCCTCTCTCTCTCTCTCTCTCTCTCTCTCTCTCTCTCTCTCTCTCTCTATGATAATTTTATAAAACGAGTCACAGTTCCATTTGTGTTGCGTTTTTAATCCCAGATTTCACGCAATGCAAGGCATATTAGTTCCGCAAAAATACGTTTACAAAAATATATTTAAAAAATATTTTTTTATATATTTTTGGTAATATTTTTCACATCCTTAACAGTTTGTTAGGATAAAACTCTTTAAAAAATTTAAGGTTATGCTTGAAGAAAGAGTCGATGTCTATGCCTCAAGGGCGTCATGCACATGTTCGTATCGCGTTCCATTTAAAGCGGCGACCTATTACGTCGGGCATTTTTAGTGTATTACTGGACTTTTTTGGGTTACTTTCTCGCGTATATAGTCGAGTAGTCAGTTTTTAAAAAAGTGTCGTCGAAATACATATCGCTTATCTCGAACACACGTGTTCGTCCAAAATAAGTTATTGTCACCACCAAATGCAAATTCCGTTTGTCCGCTCTTCCTTAATATTCCTGACGTCGCCGAGGTTTCTGATGGTGTTATACCAGATAATCTCTCCGCTTTAAACCAACATCTTATAAACAGCTTATATTTCTTTTCTTATTGTTATTCTTATTCTTGTGCTAAATTCTTTTTGTCGAAAGTCTTTATATTGTAGCGTTAAATAAGGAAGCCTTATTATTAATATCTGTATCTGCAAATAATTATATTTTGTGATATTTCCTGCGCACAGAGTACACGGAGATTGAGATACGAAGCATATATATTATATAGCGCAAGTACAAATAAAAAACTGTCTTACTAGTTTTATTTCTTATTCTTTCATTGTTATGTACACATGTAATTGCCAGGGAAAATCCTATAATTATTCTTCTGCAGTTTAAAAAAATCTTTCTGTTTTACTTTAAATTTAACTTACTTGAATTTCTTTTTTCGATTTCAAATTATATGGTACTAGCCTTATATTGCATTATAATAGTATTTTGTATATAAATTGTAAATAGTATTGTAAATAAGAATGCGTAAATGCAAAAAAATTGAAATAAAAAAAATAAACTCTAAATTAATTAAATTTGTGTATTTATTAATTACATATAAACCAGTTCTTTAATATATCTACATATTCCAATAATTACAGTTGTTCTAAAAAACATGGAATTGTCCATTTTTAAAAGCAGTTAAGTTCATCTTTTTTATGAGAAAGACGAAAATTAGATAAAATACAATTAGAAATTGATAATGTATAAGTGTTAAAATTAAGAAACCGATAATATTAGTTAAGTGATAGATGATATTAACACTAACATTCTCATGTTGTATTATTTTCTAACTAATTTTTTGTTTCTCTTGTAAAAAAGGTGAAATTAATTTAGCTGTTTCGGAAAATAAAAACTTATATGCTCATAAAATAGGGGTAAATAATACAGTTGTTGGCCACTCTACAATGATTGGCCATATCTTAAAAAATTAAAGATTATAAAGAAATACTATTAAAATGTTTAAAAGTGTTTCTCTTAAAAGTGTATTAAATATTTTGTATTTATAATAAAAAACAGTTTAATAGTATTTCTTTCATAATCCTTAATTTTTTAAGATGTGGCCAATCATTGCAAAGTGGCCAACAACTGTACTGTTTACCCCTATATATTTTATGTGCTATGTAAATATATAGAATAATCTATATAAAACATTCTGTAAAATACGCTATGCACATTTATAAAACATTTTATTAAAATGCTTATAGAATATTCTATAATTATGCATACAATATTATATAAAATATTCGATAGAGTATTCTACTTATATTAAAAAGACATTTGAAGTAGTGCCATTCAAATATATTATAAAGATACTGTAAATATATAAGATTGACTTATAGAATATTCGAAATATTCTTGAAGATTTTTCATAGAACGTTCATAGAAATGTTTAGTGCTATCTGGGTTAAAAATGTAAAAAATGTACGGACATCAAAGCACGTGGAAAAAAACACGACACGACAAAAGCAAAAGATATAGAGTTTCAACTTTCATTAACTCGCAAGACGAATGGTTTCGCGTTAGTGCGACTCCTAACTGCGAACATTCAAGGATCAAAACAACATCGCGCTACAATTTTTCTTCGTAGTTTTTCGTTTAGAGTTTAGGGGATCTCGAGGACTCGAAACGCTCGGGGGATCCCTAGTAATCCCCTCGGTATTTATTTCATCCACAATTGCGATCGTGCGTCGATCAATCTCCTTTACCTCTAATTGCGATTTCGATTTTTCGCGCAGTCCTTAAAGCATCGAGGACCTCAAAAAGAAAATAGCGATCCGCTAAAATAATCCTTTAAATACCAAAGGCAACGCAACGTCCAATTAGCATTCTGCATGCTCTTTGCAATTTTTCCTGCAGCGGAAGAAACTTCGCGAGTCTCACAAAAATCAATCGAATACGCCTGATCTCTCTGTTCGCGCCCCGAAGGGTCGGCAAACGTTCCTCGGGTCATCGTAGTTCGGGAAAACTCGCGAGAAGGGATTGTAGAATTTTCCGGTCGGTGTGTTTTCTCTTACCCCTTGCGTTCCGCCTGCGCGCCCCTTTACTTGTTGCTACCGCTGACGATGCTGTTGCTGCCGTCGCCGTCGCCGCCGTTGCCGGCAGCGATAAATTCCATGCGCGTTTCTATCGATCCACCCATCCACCCTTCGTCGGCCTATATAAAAGCCGCCGCCATTGGTGGTCCTCCTGATTGTGAGAGAAGAGCAGGTCGGGATTCCATGCACATCCGGGGAACACCGTCGTCGACAAACGTTACGGCGTACTGAGATAAAAAAGAAATAAAAAGAGAAAAAGGGAACGCTGGTCGCTAACCCGTTTATCCTGAGGGGGTGGTCACGCGGATGAGAGATTAAATTAATCAGGTACGTCCCGTATACCGCGCACCCCGCACACAAAAGGCATCCCGTCGCGTCGTATTAATCCGTTTGAATTCCGTCAAGTAAGTTTCGTCGTTGATTACGTTCCAACTGTGTTTCCACGTTTTCGCAATTCGGTCTGCGTCGATTCGCAGTTCGTTCCGTTGCGTTTCCTGATTGCGACGTACGTTTCGTATTTCATGACAGTCCGTTGAGTCTCTAATTTAATTCTATAATCTTAATTATAATTATATAATCTAAATTATTCAGTTTTTTTTAATTATAAATTTCACCTGCGACACGTAGCCGCGTGCGAATCGATCCCGTCGACCGTGGTCTACAGTCTACGACTCGCGATCTCCCGACCTCGCTGACCCCGGAGCGTTTCATTCGCAGAAAATTTACGAAATTTGTCATAACACTCATAACGCGTCAACAAGCGACAGGTTATTATTCGTCGATTGCGAAATATACGTGGACAAATATGCACGGCTCCGATAAACACGCGAAATTTAGCGATATTTCGCGCTCGACGACGGTACCATCTGGTAATTTGATCCCCCTTAGTAACAATAGTAACTGACCTCTCGCTTGTCTAAACACGACACTAGTTTCGTTAACGTCGACATTTGACTCGAGAAGATCGTTTCTACGCGAATTTGAGGAACTTACATGTGTTTTACGATTTACACATGTAATCTGCGAGTTTTACATTAGAAAATATTACATTTATTGATCCTAAAGAGAAAAAAGAATTGCGCAATGTAATTTGTATTTATGTGCCCTCTTTATCACTTTATTTTACAGTATTTTCCTGATTTAGCTCATTTCGCTTAATTTTACTCTGACTTTTAATTAAAAGATGAAAAACCTGTTTCTACTTTACGATTTCTGTCCTTTACACTTTACTTTTCTTTATCTGTTACTTTCTGTTTAAAATTCCTCCCTCTTCCTTCCTCTTTATTTTACTTTTAAATTCAATGAATTTTAATATTAAGTTCGATGAGTTTTTCTATGAATATCGGAATGGATTTGATATGAAGGGCTATCTGGGCATCTTGTCTTGATGTTACGTCGTAGATTTCCTCGATACGTCTTCATTCGTGCGAAGGACTTCGTCACCCTATTAACAAAATCGATATTAGCTTAGTGCAGTATGCAAAATAGACGTGGTCAATATATCTATATATATTTATTACGATGTAGAATACAGTGCACGTCTGACGATTAAGGCACCGAGCGCAGAACCGGCAGAACCGAATCGAGGAGCTTGTTTTTCCAAATCGGTTTAAAATAAATCACTGTTGAAAAAAATAAAAATTACAATAATATGATATTATGGTTCATAAAAATGATATAAAATTATTATAACAATTTTCGTTAAAGAAAAAAATTAGAAATGTATTTTCGTTCTCATTATTCATTATGAGTATGCATAGATTAATATGACATTTACATAAAAAAAAGTATCGGTTATAGTACAGAGAAAATAAACTTGTCAATTTTTCTAAATTTTTTAATGTCTATATATATATAATATACATTAAATTCATATTTGTTTATACATAATCGATATGTTTTATTTAAATATCATATTAAATTAATCTGTGTATAATTGTTATTGCTTCTACAACAGTATTTCTTCACAGTTAACAGATTTAATCAATTTTTTTTTATCTGTAATTCTTTACACAATCAATCGAATTGTAATTTTTACTTTTTATTTATATTTAAACATTATATTAATCTGTGTATACCTCCTATTTGTATATATTGGATGGATAATAAAAAAGGAGATAATTAGTGTTTCCAGTTACTTTTTCAATGTCTCTTTGCGCGATATTGCATGCAATTATACATTTCTACTGATTAGTTTGAGCACAAATGGCATCGCCACGGTGGATACTGCCGCTGCTGATCTTGGGAACGAGCGCAATCACGCTGATTCCCGCGGCTCGACACTTCCATGACGAGCTTCTCAGGAGCCCCAAAAACATGCGGAAGCAGAGGTCCCTGGACATGGCGGATTCACCTGAGTATTACAACGACCTGCACTCGTTCAAGTATCACGGCGGCGACACCGACCGCAAGTTCGATCGCGACTTCGACGAGGACGACGAGGAGATCGAGTTCCTGCCTAGCGGTAAGATTTTTTCGAGAGAACGTTTATTTTTAGACTCCGAGAAAAGAGCGAAAAAGAATGAACTTTTATGGTATATGTTTTATGTTTTTCGTATTACATTTTTATGTATTGTATTTTTTTAGACTTTTGTATCGTATATCGTATTAGATCCTTGTATTTACTAATTGTCAATTACTTTTATCGCGGTTTTAGACAATGGTCAGCTGGAAACGGTGGGGGAGGGTCTCCAGGGCTTGAATAATAAGCTACTCGAAAGAGCACTACTCGATTATTTGGAGACTCTACCCGAGCAGGTATAAATCTTTCGATTTATCACTCAAGATAGATAGTCATTCCATTTTAATCAAGGTTAATTCCTAAAATTAAATCCCAATTAAATCTCAATTTTACTTGACTAGCAAAAACATTTCGGTTGCTCTCGATAGCACAGAAAACCACATAAACGGAAAATTCGAAAAGACAAAGATTAGTAACACGCATAATAATTTCTTTATCTAAATGTTTATAATTTTCAAATATATATAATTAATATAATTAATGTAATAATATTTATATAATAATTATATAATTATATATCTATTTATATTAAATAACATATGTAACATATATAACATAATAGTTTTTTATCCAAATTGTAGTAAAATTAATTATTTTAAAAGAAAGTAAAAATGATCAAAAAACTTTCCGTCGAAAAAAGAGGGAGAGTTTCAACATTTTGTTGATCGTAATATTTGTCCCTTCCAATCATATTAAAAAATTGTATAAAAATCAAAAGCAGAGACATTTTAAACAGTCAAGCTAGATGTGCCATAGAGATCCTCGATCAATAACGTTGAGCATCACGATGATAATTGCTTGCAGGAAGAACCGGTGCAGGCCTCGATCTTTCGCGAGCGCGAGCGAAGTGGTAGCCGCAAACGGGGTGGCGCCGGCGATCGACTGAACCTGGACAACGAAGATCTGACGAGGTTGTTCATGGAGGAACTGCAGAACGGTTTTCCGTACGGTGCGCTCGTGGAGGTGGACGACGACTATCTAACTGCTTTACAATCAATTTACGACAGTTACAGAGCTGGTAGAGGGAACAAAGTATACGAGTAAGTTCGATGGTCATTCCCTTCGACTTCGACCCATTAAAGATCACATCTATAATGTAACGAGCTTTTTATAGTTATATCGATTTATAACGAGCTTATAATTGTTATATCAGTTTATAAGTTTCAAGATATTAGATATCTTAGGAAGCTATTGAAAAAATTAGTACATAATTTAATGATTATCGGAACGCAGCATTAGTAGTATTTATTTAGTGTTTACATTGTATGTTGGACTCTGATGATTCTTTCCCACAAGCGCGAGAGTTATGATCGTTTTTTCCTCGACACGGTATATTTTTTAGCCTTAATTTCCAATGAATTGTAACTGTTCTTGATCAAAACAGATAAGAATTAAAGTTCTTTGAAAATGCCATAAGATAGCATGATCAGATCAATTTCGACAAAAAGTGAACTTTGATCGGTTTTCCCCTATACCCTTCATTCGTATTCTAACATCAGTTTGTTCATATAACATAATTTTTGTCCCGAAAATGAGGTACAAGAACGATTAATGGTTTGAAAAAGGGATTTAATGTTCAACGTAATGTTTGCTCGATAGAACGGCAGGACCAATGTCTTGGGGCGAGCTACTTAGCAAGGATTCATTGAGGAGCGAGATGAAGGACGGCAATGATGAGGAGTTCGTGGATCGCGATCAGGATCAGGGCATCCTATACTTGCCGGCGGAACGTAGGAATGTAAACGGCCGATTTCCTATCGGCCGCGAGTTCGGTAGCTATCGCAAGCTGACTAAGCGCTATCCGGTCGCTAAGAGAAGCCCCAGGCCGACCCAAACCAGATCAAAGACTACGGATCCTAAGGTAACGCGACAAATAACAAAGCAAGATCGTGCTGCTGCTGGCAGCTAATTGCTCTGTCTACTATCAATCAGTTTTTGATTTTGTTGTGAAATTACACGTTTGTGGAGTCAAACGTCAACGTGGAACATGGTGGCAACGTTGTGTAAAACATATTCCTCTCTCTCTCTCTCTATTTTAAGGTTGCTCAAGACCTAGGAGCCCTATTCGGCACGCAATTCACGAATTCACACAATCACACTCATAAATCTGATCATGAACACGAACACGATCACGATCACGATCACGAACGTAAGCAAGAATCTGATCAAAATCACGAACACAAGCACAAATCCAATCAGAATCACGAACACAAGCACAAATCCAATCAGAATCACGATCACGAACACGAGCACGATCATGAGGGCAAGACGGAAACGCCGTCGAAAGTGACGCCGTCCCCGAAGGGCCAAAAAGAAAACTCTACGAAGACGGCCAAATCGAAATTCCTTCAGGTGAGGAAGAAGAGCGTCGACTGGTCGCAATATTTCGGCATTGATCGGAGGAAGAAGAAGACGACCCTCACAGCCGGACAGGGCACGCAGAATCAGGACGACGAGTGGATGCTGCAGCGTTACTACGAGGTATATCGTATAATTATTAAAATTCTTTTGTCGAATGCATCGCACAATGATGGCAATAAAAGTGGAAAAAAATATTTATACATCTTTATATTTATAATATAGTTTATAGATTATGTATATTTGTAATAGTTAATGGTAGTTCAACCAATAGCTTGATTTTATTCGCTAAATAAACAAGTAAGAACCTTCGTCCTTCGTTGGCAGAATATGGCCGAAAATTTAAAGCCAAAGGAAGACGAGAATGAGCGGAAGGATAAACTCGAGCAGATGGATACAAAATTGAAATATATTAAGGACTTGATTATCGATGAAGCTATGAGGTACGCTGCTTCGGAGGATAAAGTGGATCTGCAGAAGGTAAATTTTTCTACTTGCATTTTCACACATTATTACATCAATTTTATTTGAATTATGAAATATAATAAATTTAATTATAAATAAATTTGTTATATAATACTATAAATCAAATTATCAAAATATCTAATTTTTTCTTTATATAATAATAATAATAATAATAATAATAATAAGAATTATTGAAAAAAAAAATGTGTAAAAATGTTTAACAGGTGAAGGATAAGTTAATGTCGCGAATGGCAGCGGCATATACCTTGCAGAAAATGCAAAAAGCGCTGAACGATCTTCGAAACAATGTTGCGGCTCATAAGCAGACACAGAGAACGCAAAAGGAGGCACAGCACAATTCTACGTCTAATTTTCGCGAAAACAATAATCCGAACACTAATAGTGTTACCGGCAGTAAAGCTGACGAGAAACGGAACGATATTAATAACAATATAGAGGAAAGCGAATGTGAGTATTTTATATCCGAAAAGAAGTTATAGAAATTGTAGGAAAGATTATACAAACTATGCAGAATATCCCACAATTACTGAGTCAGCATTTATTGAAATTTTTCTTAATAAAAGCGTATTGCGCGTTTCTTAGTTATTAATTTTTTAACTCTAAGTTTTTCTGAAGAAAAATTTTTTTTAATTTAATATTTTTATAGTTCATATTTATCTTTATAATTAATTTGATTGCACAATTTTATCTAATATGTAATTATGTAAATATGTAAATTTTTAGCTTTTCTATAATTTGGAAACTATAGTTGAGTTTTGTTTTATAATTTTATAAACATATCAAAATTGAATAAAAAATAACATTGTTCTCAGAATTTACTTTCATTTAGCTTTCGAAGCTTTTTAATTTTAATTATACACAATTCAGAATTTATTGATCTCTTATTTTTAAGTCCAAAGAATCTGCAGGCAAGAGATGGCTCGATAAATCTGGAATAATCTGTGCAAATCCAATGAATCTCGAGTTAAATAATAGCTAATACAAATTATATGAGACAATTGTTTGTATTATACAGCCATCGAGGAACCTAGAAGCTGTCCGGAATTAGAAGCCATCGAGTGGCGATGCCGAACTGTGGATAACGTAGCCGGCGACACAGCTCAAATGCTCTACGTGCCCTGTGTGAAATTGCAAATCTGCAAAGCTTGCGTAAGTCCATACAAATTCCTATCTTTATGTTATAGAGATTTTTAGATAATTCGGAGATTACGGATAAATCAATCTAATGTCGCACGTGAAGACATAAAAATGTCCTCTACATTTCTAAATCCAAAAATCTTGGAATATTATTCAATGCAATAGGAATATCAATCCTCTTATTGTCAGAATTTTCAAAGCTCAATTTCATGAAAAATTAAATTCCATCCTAACAATATCTCTTACTAAATTAAAATACTTAGGCATCAATATTAAAATATTAAATATATTCTTAATAAATACACCTAACGCGCTCCAACACTCTATTAGTCTCAGGATTTACAGGCTTATTTTTTAAGTTTGAATTCTTAAGTCTCATTTCGTGGGAATTTTTTCCCCCATTCTTCGGAAAAGCTACAACAAATCGTTTTGTACCAGGCGCAGAACGAGGAGGGGCTGTTACCCTGCCTCGCCAACTACGCCCTGGTGGCCGGCAAGGTGTGCGACGCGTTGGAGTCCAGGGACGGGCAGTCGCGGATGGCGGCTGCGGTGCGCGAGGGCGAAAGGCAGTCCTGCGCGAACGCTGCGTTGCTGCTGTCGCAGTTGCAGCCACCCGGGGCGGCGACCGCGCAGTGCCGCGCGCGGAACTCATGTCTGCGGCTGTATCAGGCGCGATACGAGCACCGCTTCCGCACGTCGCCGGCGTACGAGGGCAGTTCCGGACGTCGCATCCATCACGAAGGAGCCCTCGACGCGCTGCAGCAAACCATGTCCGAACGATAAGGATCAGGCGAGCGAGAGGAAGCTCCGGTCCGGCCGCGCGATACGGTTGAACCGCCAGTTATCCGGACGTCCAGGTATCGCCTGAGTACCGAACGGGCTCCCCCCCCCCCCCCCTCCTCCTGACGATCGACATCCGACTGAACGCGGAACGAGGATTTTTAATTTACGCCGAAACTGTTTTGCTGTTGTAGTTATATTTGTTATTTTGTTTAATACCCCCTAGGCCTACGTTTTCTTTTACTAAAAGTCTCGTCCGGATAACCGGCGGTTTACTGTATTAAAAAATCTTCCGTCGTAATAAAGCATGAATCAAGATTAGTCCTCCCTGGGTACCACACGTTTCCTTAAGCTTCTCGGATCTCATACAGAAAAAAGTTAAAAAAGAAATTTATAAGTCGATTGTCTATGTGATTATTTTAGTCACAGAGACCCCTGCGTGTGGTACCAGCTGAGGATTAACGAGAAGCTGCGGCACACGAAAAGTCATTCCCGAATCGAAATAAAATGGATTAGAATAGTCATCAAAAACCGTATAAATTTTTTTTTTTAATACCGGGAAAAAGTAGCAGTAGTAGTATGCAGAAAAGAAGAATAGTAAAGTCCATTTACCAACGTAGATTAACTTTAATCTCGGCTTAACTTTCTTTTTATCTTTTTCTAGTTTTAAGAATTAGATATGTTTTCACATAATAAAGAATTTTTAAAAGTGTAATAAGACCGTACGTATATGATAGATTAAAAATTCTTTATGTGAAAACACATCTAATTCTTAGAACTAGAAAAAGAAAAAAAGTAAGTTAAACCGAGATTATAAAGTTAATTTACATTGGTAGAAATGGACATTAGTTTGCAAACGTGGAGTCTCCGTTTCCTTTCGATTCGAGAACAGGTTTCAAAAATATCGGTGGTACTCGACGTGAAACAGCATTTTTCGCACACGACGCATATGAATTCCTCGTCAGCGCAAGATTTCAAAATCCTGAATTTAAAAATTAAAAAAAAGGAAGATAATGTCTAATTAGCGAAATGTTGCGTTTTATCTGTTTAAAAGAAGCTTGTAAACCCTGGATCTAAAAGGAGAGTAGATAATACCTCTAATTAAGAGAATAAGATGTTCTATCTGTATTTGCGAGGTGTGCTATATATTCGTCTGGACGGATTCACGAAACATCCTCCCTTTCCCTCGATCCTCCTACATTGAACTGAACAACGATTAACGAGTTTACAGAGACAATAAATAAATGATATCCCCGACAGATTTATTTGCACGACGACTCGTAATGAGGAAACGAACTTTGCGAATGTTTGCCATCCCCGAAAGGGATACTGCAAAATTCCATCAAATATGTAGAGTTTGGACGAACGCCTCGCAAATGAAAGTCGAGAGGAGATCCAACGACGTAAAAATATATGTGTAAATTATTGTGTTAAGTATCCTAAAAAGAGAAAAAAAAATTATTGTCGCGAGCGCATATGTGTCTCCCCTTTAGCGCATTAATTCTTCGCGCTCGCGCCAATCAAAAGATTACATTAGACGCGATTATAATTTCTCGCACGCGGTAGTTACACGCGGAATTGCCGGTTTAACGCGTTTCTCGCCGGGAGAAAACGTAACAAGAAAAAAAAATAAAGATAGAGAGAAAAAGAGAAAGAGAAAGGAAAGAAAGAGAAAGGATACTTGACGCAGCTTCTAAAGAGTCTATCTCTTCGCAAATCTATATCTATTATTACTGTCTATTATATTATATATATCAAATGTTTACGTTACACGGCGTTATATGGATACGCATGTCGATGGTGTCTAGTCGATGTGTCAGTCCTATATTCGAAATATAATAAATATATTTCAACATAAACGCGGCTCAACGTCCCGTCTCAGCACGCACCTTGTATAATTTTTGCGACACATATTACCTAGACGACCTGGACGTTGTCGCGCGATTCGACAATGTTGCCATTGCGGCCGAAGGGGTCCACGGGCACGGAAATGTCCTGCAACATTTCCAGGATCTCCAAACACTGCGGCCGGTAGAGTCTCAGCAATTCCAATTGCAGCTTCGCGCAATCAACTGCGACGATTAAGTACGACGGTTGTTTATTTTTTCGGAATTAAATTAGATAAATCGAAGATCGAGAATATCTTAGAGTTTATACTCACTCCGCAGTCTCGACACCTGTTCGAGTCTGATTTTCAGTTGCATCTGCGCCTCGTTGGTCTGGCGGATCGTCTCCTCGAACGAATTTTTCGACATGACGGCTGATCGAGTTAATTGGACCCTGATTGGAATCAGCAACTCACTCGTAATGCCAGTAACGAAGGAAAGTAGAGAGCCCGAAGGAAATGGCTACAGTTAGAGCGGGTTTCGCGGATCGCAGTGAACTTGCCGTTGCCGCCAACAGTGCCACCAACGCAGACACGTTCAGCTCGCTGGCACGTGATCTGCCACGGCGGCGGTTGTCTCGTCACGTTTGAAAACTTGACAGAATTCAAATTAAATCAAATCGTTCGTTTTTGTCGAGACCGCAGCTCCGCGCGGCTTTTAATCGTCATCTATACATTTGTTAGAAAATAATTAATCTTCTTATCCGCTCACAATTCGGAAAATTTTTTCAAATGGCAAGAGATTTTGCATAGGATCATTTTTTTTTCCGAAGAACTGGTGCACGTAGTGCAATAAGTTAGAGTGAGACAATTAAGTATATTTTATTTCACTCTAATTTATTGCACTAATGCGCACTAATGCGCAGTTCAGGAAGTTCTTCGAAAAAGAACTGATGGAAAAAGAACAAAGAATCTATATCTTGTATTTAAAATCGTGTTAAATCAGTGCACACGACTTCGAGATGTTATACACTTCGCTGAGATATATTCAAACTATAATATTCACAGTACGATGAGGATGCAACTGGTTATTTCTAGATGACAATTCAATCCGACTGCGAGCGAAGGAGTCGCAAATCTGCGTCACAATCGATCATTATTACTAATCATTAGTTCAAAGTTCAAGGTTCAAAAGGTTCAACGCCTCGTCGATGACGGTCTCGCGCCGTCCGGTCGCTCACGTACGCGAACCAGGGAACGCGCGGATCAATTCAATTCCTCGGGCCTGCGCGGAGGCGAGGCGGCGAGAGGCAGCGCGTCGGGACGCGACGCAACGTTACGAAACGGCGCATCGCGGTTGCGTCACGACGCGTCACGGCGCGTCACGGCGGCCGCGCGGCCTTATCGCCGAAGTATCGAAGTCCGCGCGGCGGTCAGTAGTAGGGATCGTAGGTAGAGTCCGGCGGGGGCGATGCGAGTTCATCGCGGCACTCGGACGCTCGTCGTCGTCGCCGCCGAGCGCAGGAAGCCGTCAGCCTCGTAAACCGCGGCTCCCCTCATGGTTGCGATCACCACGTGTCGCGCCGCCGCCGCCGCGACGGCCCTCAGGGCCGTCATACTGGGCGCGCCGGCGTCCGGCAAGGGCACCGTCTCCTCCAGGATCGTCCAGCAGTTCGGCGTTGCGCACATCTCCAGCGGCGACAGGCTGCGCTTCCACGTGTCCGCCGGCACTGGTACGTCGTCGTCGTCGTCGGCGATGGTGGTGGTGGTCTTTTACCCCTGAATATGCCCTTTTGAATATTTAAAAGCGCCCGCTGTCAATCTCCTCCTCGTCTGTCGTTTTACTATTGAGTATTTTATTATTGGTACATACATGTAAATATGTTGAATTTTTTCTGTTGAAACATTTCGAAAATGCGTATTACTATATTGGATATAAATTTTAATTTTTTTTATTTTGCTAATTAGGATTTTATCGTTAACCTCGTACTTCGAGGTCAATATCTCGATAATTTCGATAGCAAGATTCACGGATAATCGACTTCGTTAACACGAAAGTTTGTTTTTAAATGTTCACACTCACGCCGCGCGCCGTTACGTAATCAGATTTCATTCCATTATCAATCAGTTAATTTGAAAAACATGTCGGAACTGTCGGAAGTGTTATTGTCATTTCGATTAAATGAATTCTCCGCGTTTAATATCTTATCTTCGATATACCGCATTATGTAATCGTAATCGAGAGCACTTGGATTTTGCGATAACGCGTTTAAATTATTAGTTTTGATGAAATTATTTTTGTTCGTCCTTAATCACGTTTTCTCTCTGTTATTATTATTAATAAATTATAATATATGAAACACATTAACATATTAAAACACATACATATTACATACTATATCATATATATAATATATTATTATATAATATATAATTAAACTATATATATACATTATATATTTTTAGTATTTATAGTTTATTATACATATAATTATAAAATAACATTAAATATAATGATATAATATATATATTATATTAATTAGATATTTAATCTTATAATTTCAATGACACGTGTCACACATCAAATTTTAATAAAATTAAATTTTCGCGTTTGTTTCTATCCTTCATCCCGTGCTTGAAAGATTGTCGGTCTGTTAATTTTAGAAACACCCTCGAAACACGCGATGCCTCCGATACAACAAATTTCGCGCGATTATACAATATGATTCAATGAAAGCTCGAGAAGACACGTGCAGCCGTTCCGTTGAATTGGCTACGCCGGTTGGCAAAGCGCTCTCAGACAAACATCTCGTTTGCAGATCTGGGCAAGGAGGTAAAGAGGTACATGGACAGCGGTAGCTTCGTGCCGGACGACACGATGATATCTCTTATCGGAGACGAGATCAGGTCGATGGCGGGTCGGAATTGGCTGCTGGACGGTGAGTGTGGAAGGAAATGATTCTGGCCTCGCGTTAGCGTCGGCGTCGGCGTCGCGGCCAAGGTCGTCGTCTCGAAGCCGCGAGTTTCCCACCTGCCGCCTGATGTGTGTGTGTGTGTGTTCTAAACGCGAGCGAATATCTTGGCAGGATTCCCGCGGACATTGACGCAGGCGGAGCGATTGCAGAGGCTGCACCCGATCAATCTCGTGCTGAATCTCGTGGTGCCGACCGCCGTCATTCTGGACCGCGTCAAGAGCCGATGGGTCCATCTGCCCAGCGGTAGGGTCTACAACATCGGCTTCAATGATCCACGAGTGCCGGTAATCAGCGCGCGCGCACACATACACATACGCAACGAATGCATATCTATATCTATCTTCATTGAAAATAAAAGAGCGCAGAAAGAAGCGCAGGTTTAACTGAGGATATACCAGAGCCTATAATACTACATTCTTTACAATTCATTATAATAAGATAGAATCTACTATACAATATTTTCTTCTAATATATTATAATTATAAAATACTAGCGCTGCATTTTTATTAATTATAAAACTGAAAGTCGGATCTTTTGGCGTTAGTTACGGAGCATTTTGTCGCGTTTTGCAGGGCAAAGATGATGTAACGGGCGAGCCGTTGTGCCAGAGGGAGGATGACAAGCCGGAAGTTGTACAGAAGAGGCTGCAGGACTACGCGACGAAGACCGAGCCAGTCGTGCAGTTTTATCGTGAGATTGGCATACTGAGGGAGTTTCGCGGCAACGCCACTAACGAAATGTGGCCGGCGATCAGGAATTGCGTAGCACAATATTGCTGAGCTTTAGAGATTAAATTTTTAGATAAATTTTCTATTTAAATATGTCGGACGGTCGCGCAGGCCATTCTGATCCTTAAATAGGTCTATTTAGATCTGTTTAGATTTCTCCAATTCTTCGTTTCTTAGATCTCTCTAAAGGAAACAGATTTTTGAATATTTTGGACCTAATTCTTATATTCTATTTGCCTAAAAATTAAATTAGATTAGAGAAGCTTAGATTAGATAAAATCTCACGCGCCTAAGAATAATTTTCATATTCTTTTATGAAATAATTAAAACGGACAATCTATTTAGATCTATTTGAGATTTGCAATTCGCGCTCCCCACACGCGATCTCGAGTAACAGATGGGAATATCACGCTCTCCTCCGGCAACAAGTGTTTTTTACTTCGCAACAACGACAGACAGAACGCGTACTATAGCATATCCGCGCGACGTTCTCTCATGCACGCACGAACGCACACAAGTGTGACTGGCATTAGATTGTAAATACGCGATGTCGTGCCGACAATAATAGGCTTGTAGATGTTTCCGAATGAAGAACGCCTAGGTAATACAACGAGATTTCGCGGTAACTCAATGATATTGATATCGTTGCGAGTTATCTTTTGTTTCGCAACTAGCACTTGCATGACAAACCGCTGCTTGTGGCCGAAGGTTCAAAGTATATAGTACAAAGCAGGAATTATTGTTCGAATAATCGGCGATACATTCTAGGATGACGTAATCGTCATATATTTCTCAATTTATTTCGAGCGTATAGCGTTACAGCTGTAAGAGAGATATATAACAACGTTCAATATTGTGTACATATTCAACAGTATAAGTACAATATACGCATATACATATACATGCATACATACATATACAGTTTGAGGCATCTAAAAAAAGTGTACATATAAATGAATTCTTTAACAATCTTCGTGTTTTCTATTTTTAAATCTATATTACGCTTTAGAGAATACTCTAGGCTTATTTGTCGTCGATTAAGCAAGTTATACATATCATGTTATCTCGCTTCTTGGAGCGCTCGAGTAATTTTGCAGCGCGAAATGAACGATTCACTCCAGTCTATTGTCTATTCTACTCTATTTTATCGTAAATGTTTCTGCCGCTCTTGAAAATATCGTTGAAGACAAAGCTTGTAGGAATGTAACAGGGAAAAAGACTCGTTTAAATAGTTTTCAAGATTTCGAAAATTTTATTGCAATTTTTTCCTTTTATAGTTCTTAGATATTATTTTTATTTATATATCTATAAATAAGTACAGATATCACAAATCTTTTCTAAATAAATATTTAGGTGTACACTATTAGATGCTTCATCCTGTATATATCATGTTCACGTTCCTCAAATTCCTCTTTAAAGGCAGAAGAGTTACTCAGGAATAACTCGATTACAAATAAATAAATAAATTAATGCCTTATTATAGTTTCCTTTAAACGAATCAGACTTGAGAATCGTCGCGCTTTTATTCGCGTGGAATTTTGTTGTATATATATAGAGAATTTCGCAAAATATAATTTTATTTCGATAACTCAACAGATTTAACGCGCGTCATAAAATTGTTTCAAGACTAATCAAAGCCTCGTTGTAACACGCGAAATAAATATTTGCTGAAATTTCGATAACGAATCAATATTAAGTCATATTAAATTATTATTAAGTTAGTTATCACTAATGATCAATATATAAAGCCATCAACGAATTTCGAGATCATATATAACCAGATAAGAAAATTGTGCATTCTCATAATAATTGCATACATATATATATACATAATAAACAATCGAAAAGACGAATTAATCAGCTCATTAAGTTGTACTAACGTCGTGAATAATCTTGCTTCCTTATCTCCTATCTCATAAGTAACAGTAACTGGTCATTGAGTTCACTCAAATTCTGTTTTCATACACGCATTGAGATCGATGGGAATGCGTTACTCATCGCCTCGATACTGAGCATCTCATTCTTTCCAGGACGACATATCCGGCTCGCGTTTACTATGTTTTCCTACGCGCGCTCTGGAGAAGCGGCTATATGAAAAAAAAATACTGCCGCGAGATATTGGGCGAGCAGATAGAGACGCAGAGACGTTCTCGCGAGAGTAATTCAGATGAGCACGGAATCGCGCGTGTCATACTCCCGTGTTGTCACCTTCTTTTTTCCTTTTTTTTTCTATCTTACTGCAGCAACTCGAACTCCTCGCACTCGTACAGATCGTCCTCCACGCTCTCGACGAAGTGACCTGCTGACGGCAGAAGACCTTCGACGACCTCGATTCCCTGCTGCAGATCCTTACCGCTTCCCTCGCAGAACAGAAACATCGGGTAGTCTATCTTCTG